AGAGACAAATCATCCAGTAATTATGGTGCTTTTTTTGTATAATCTAACGCATGTAAAAAAAAATTACAGTTGTTTTGTAAGGCCTTCAGTGGTGTCGGACCTGTCAGAGAGAATAATTCAACCAGTGCGTCCTTCCTTCACACTCAGCTTGCTGCTGCCTGTCTCCTCTTAAGCAGCTACACTTGTTCTTACGTGGAGCTCCTAGGCCTGTTCCAGAGGAATGCTTTGTTGAAAGTCTTCTAGTTCAGTGACCGGCCACATCCTGTTGCTCTCCTTACTTTCCTGTTGAAGCCAAAATACTAAGAAAGATTTGTCAACTTAACAAGTAATACCCTGGAGTCATGTCGTGTTCATTTCTTGACCATTTCCATCGCGCTGCCGCGATGCATAATTCATAAAAGCAGGTGTTGCATTATGGCAGGAAATCAGGCTAAGAATTTAGACGACATACCACATGTAGATAATGCACATCTGATCTAAACGCTCGTTCTTTTAGGGAAAATGTCAAGCTTTCCTTTCGCTGAGTGACCCCTAACATGCTGCTCAAGCTTTTATTGCCCCAGTATTGGATCGCTACAATCCATTATGTGTTGGCATGGGCCAGGTGGAGTTGATTCAGAAAGCTGCAGCCAGATTTCTGAGTGGTGCACATAAACAGAAACATGTTACACCATTTTTGGCAACATAACACTGGGTTCCTGTCTGAAGCGCAATTTACCATGAAATTCTGCTACTCAAATGCAAAGAGCACCAACTTTCATGTCAAACCTGCTGCTTTTCATACGCCCTGCTTGCAGGTGTGTCCAGATTCGTGTCCAGGGCTACTTTTCGAAGAATTGCCCTTCTAAATATCATCACAATCTGTATTTTAAACGGTTTCAGTGCTATTATCTATATTGGAAAGATTGTTAAGAATGGGTCACCATATCGTAATTTTAAGCAGGGAATTTGTATTCTTCCCTTAAGTATTTTTATTTTTTTTATTTTATAATAAGCTGACTTAAGTCTGGCTTCAGATAACATCTGAAGGGCATCAGTATTTCCCGAGATTCTAGGCAATAAGGCAACCGGTTCCAATTGTAGTTGGTATTTAAATTGCCCCTGAATTTCACAACTGAAAGGAAAAAACAATTCTTCTAAGCATTTCCCCTTTCTTCAATCAAATACAATGCATTCCCTGTTTTGCAGAGAAGCACCTTTTGCTGCATATTGTGCTGCATTACTCCAATATGGAACTATTTAGGTGAGGAATGACTTCATATTTGGATTCATTTTCACAGACCTCAGTCCAAGATCCCTGAATCTGGTGCGTTCTGGCTGCTTCTTGCAAATTTCTCCAAGCAAACCTGGAAAGCCCCAAGGGTTCTTCTTTTGTCGTGTGAATAACACAAGACAGAAAATATGTGAGAAGCATATTGCAAAAGAATCAGGACGTTATGATTGTTTCACTAGTATGAAATTAGTTTGAATGTAACAACTTGTGTCAGGTAAACCGATGCTAGGTTTTTGACTCAGTTACTTAGTCTTGTTAAAAACACCACGGCAAAGATTAGTTTATTTCCGTTTTGAGTGTTAATGACTAGTGGAAATCCCCAGAATGTTTTGTAAAATTACTATTGCTCATTTTAGAACACCTGTAGAAGAGTGTAGCTATATTAGTTTATCTATTTAACTGTACATAAATACACCTGCAACTCCATCCATCCATCCATCCATTTTCTGAACACCCTTGTCCCTCAGTGGGGTCGGGAGGGGTGCTGGTGCCTATCTCCAGCTAACGTTCCGGGCGAGAGGCGGGGTCGCCTGCAACTCACACAATAAAAGTCAAAATCTCTCAAAGCATGACCACCTGCCATAATTCTTTTTATAGGTGCCAGCTTAATCAGCTTCATTTCTGTGGCCTTTCGTGATACCAAATAAATCAAAATAGCTGTTTCCTCTGTGTGAATAAAACATTTATTTTGGCAAATACCTCAGTGGAAATTCACATTTAATTATGCGGATTAGTTTTAGGACTTTATTCGTTGCCGTCTACACAAGGAAGTCAACTTATTTTGTTTTAAAATAGATTTGGTAATTTCATAAAATATTTTTTTGGGAAAATGGCAAAACAAGATCCACATCCTAGTCTTCAGTGTATATCTGATTTTATTTATATCTACCCCTTTTGGCATTCTTAATAAACATCAGAACAATTAATATTTTGCATGTGTCCTACTTTTTTTGTGTCTTTCAAACTTATCTGGCTCTCAAAAAAGAAAAGGAATTTAAAAGGGAAAAGGAGTTGTACAAACTTTGTTGTAAGAAAAATAAATAAATAAATGAATAACTGTGTGTGTGTGTGTGTGTGTGTGTGTGTGTGTGCGTGTGTGTGTGTGTGTGTGTGTGTGGCTCTTGGGCAGGTGGATCTAGTGAAAAACATCAGTAAGATCCCTCAGCCATTTCTCTACACAAGACATGTTCACTTCATGAATTTCACCAGGTACAGTGGAGCAGCAACAGAATAAAAAGCTAACCAACATTGTTTATTAACACTTCTTGGCTAATATGCAGTATTCAAGATATTAGTTTTTTTTTTCTTCTTCTTCTTCTTTTTTTCAGGTTCAGGATAGAGCAGCCTGTCTACATCAACATAATCCGGGATCCCATAAGCCGGTTCCTCTCCAACTATTTCTTCCGTCGCTTTGGTGATTGGAGAGGGGAGCAGAACCACCTCATCCGAACACCAGGGATGAAAGATGATGAGCGATACCTAGTGAGTACTTTGGTTTCAGCAGTCGGGACTTCAAAATCATTTCAGCTTAAGCTGCACTACAAAGTTCGCTTAACTGATTTTTTTTTTTTTTTAAATCTCAATTCTTGTAAGGTTTAGTGCACATTTGATTATGCTAAAAAAAATGTGAGAGAAAACAATCCTGTCTGATTAATGGATATGGAGTTTTATGCTTTCTGAAGTCGAAATGTTTTTGTGTCTCACCAGTCTTAGCTAAATGCTCGACCCCGTCTAAGGTTCACAGCCAGGTTTGGCTTCTAAAACAGTCAGCTTCTGTGAATAATGAGGACGCTTCCTTTTGACAGATGGAGAGTCAGTGCTAGTTAGTGTTTTCCTGCATGTGATTTCATGTCCTCAGATGTGGAAATATATCCGTCGCTGCCACTGCTGCAGGCTGATGAGGTTTAAGCAAACCTCGGTGACTGACGCTGTTTCTGCACTTCCTACCTGACCAACTTTCTGTCATGTTCTCTTTGATGGTGGATGTTTGATTGAGAGATGCGGCTCATTTTTCTTGATTGTGTGGAGTTTACCTTCGTCTGGCAACTGCTTTTTACAGGTCCTTTGCTTTTCTTGGGTTTGCCTCCAAACCTTGTGTTTAATGTCACCTCACAAGTTTCTTTAAGGTGATTTTAGCTAAACACGTCTTTATGACTTAACCTCTTTAATTTATGTCTAAATCAAAGCGCACTTCATTTCTGAAGGCTGTCTGGAACGGCCCATTTTACTGATTTTAGTACAACCAAATATAAAGCATATTGCTACTTTAGTTTTTAAATGAAAACCATGTGTTTAATTAAAGCCTATTTTTCCACAGAATAAATGACGTCCCTGACTGAACTCCATGCTGCTTCAATTTATAACCCCTTTCAAATTAATGAAATAATTAACAACAGAAAATTAGCAGCAGGTGGGGTTGTTTTGTGATAATTTCTTTTCTACTATGCCCACTAGGAAATGAAAGGCTTTGTGGAAATATGATTCGCCGTAACGGTAATAAAACTGCACAACTTATTTGCAAAACACTAAACTGGAGCCTTTGAGGAGAGAGCTGACTTTCTTATCATTTTTGTTTTAATCCCACATTTTCTGTTGGTTTTTCTAAGGAATCTATTTTTAGTCACATCTAATGAGCCAAGCCAGAACTGTATCTCGCAGCATTCCTTCTCTCTTTCTGCCATTTATCCCGGTCCCAGTTTCCACAAGCCCATTAACTCTCCTATTGACATTGGCGAGATCAATTTTACAGATGCTTATTATTCAAAAAGCTAATGCATTCAGAATGTTCAACACGCTGTTGCTGTATGTTTGTGCTGTGAGTGATTTTCTCTTTCTCTCTCTCTCTCTCTCTCTCTCTCTCTCTCTCTCTCTCTCTCTCTCTCGGCATTAATGGTGCTTTGAGATAGGGTTCGGCGCTATGATAGCCTGAAGTTCTGCAGAGATATGAACTGAAACAGACATGCTAATGTCTGATTCCAGCGTGGCGTTCATGTAAACTCTAATTATACAGCGCTTTGACACTAAAAGGTCTTTGAAGATGTTCCAGAAGCAGGAAATACTGTGTTACCATTCATACAGATCCTGGAGGTATGTCTTTAATGTGGATGCCTAGGTTATCTGAGAGTAGTTAGCGTCTCACTAGCAGAAAAATAAAAATAAGCACATTTAATGTGGAAAATAGGATGAAACCCACTCAGAAAAAGCATCTTCGGAATCTAACCCTTGGCAACACTAAAGGATGCCTTGCACCAACCACCTAATTGCAGCGAGGCGTAGCACAGATGTTCTTAGGCTGAGAAAATATTGACAGAGTAAATAATTGCTGCATACAAAAAGCAGCTAATTAAAAAAAAGTTTCAAGTCACAACTTGATGTCAGCCTTTATATCAAATCATAACAAAGCAAGGCATGCATTTTAATTACAGACCTCATCTACACCAGGACAGCTGGTTTACAGAAAAAAAAAAATCATTATGTTTTTTTTAATGAGTTTTGACACTTCCTTTGATATTATGTATATTTATTTTTATCTAATCATAATTGGCAATTACAATTTTCAACCTATCTAATTATTATGCCAGCCTGATCATACATTCATGTCAGAGTCCGAGACTATAAGAAGGGTCATCCTCAAAAGGCTAACGAGAGCGGCAGTAAACGTCGGCCTGGCTTGAGTCAGACTGGATGTAATTAAGTGTTGCACTGTTTTCCCTGGAGTGAGGCCATGTGAGTTGAGTTATTAAAGTATGCAGACTACAGGGGCCCCTTCCTACAGTTTAGGGGGAATAGGAAGCTGTGTTGTTATACAAAGTTACCTGTTCTTTCAAAGTCCCATTTGGAGTTTGCGACAAGTCATATTAGGGACTAATAACTAACTTGTGGAAGAAGGAGCTGTGGTCAGAGACAAAAATGTAGATTTTGACTTGCAGACAAGGTGCAAGGCGTTAAAGAAAACTAACGCATGAAATCATCTCAAGCCCTCAATGCTCATGGTGAAACATGGTGGTGCCAGAAGCATGCTGTGGATATGATTTTCTTTAGCAGGGACCAGGAACCTGGTGAGAAATGATGGGAAAATGAACAGAGTTAAATACAGGGCAATCATAGAGGAAACCTTGTTAGAGCCTGTTCTCTAATGGCAGTAGAGTATATGTATTTATTTTTTGTAAAGTGACAAATTATGAAGTTGTTCAAGGTGTTTGGAAGACTTTTGCATAGCACTGTATCAATTCCGACCAGGAGATTATTGTTCTTGACAGAGAATCGGCATTCTTTCCCAGCCATGTCAGCAATCAAAGTTTAAAGTTGTATCAGATGTATCCCCCCGGCTGGTGTGTGTCAGCCTTCGCTGCCCTCCCCCTGGCCGAATTTCAGAGGTGTCAATGAAAGAACACTGTCAGTCTGCCTGCAGGGACCAAAAGGAACCCTATGCATATGTTGCAGAGACATTCCTGTGGTCCAACTGGATTTTCCCTCAGTCTACACTCCCCTCTTTATACACATGAGCTATCCTTTACAAAGTGATGTAATAGTTACTTGACCTCATGACATATACACCTCAGATAAGCATCTGTCCTTTCGGGGCATTCATAATCTGTAATAATCTGAGTTTTTCAGATTACTTGCCAAGTTCTCTCTTTAGGTTTGCTTCATCTCATTAAACAACTTATAAAACAATAAAATATAGAGGGAATAGCTGATTGTAGCTGTGTTTCTGTTACAAATGTGCAAAGATCTTCGCTTATGCAATAACTTGCTAACGTGAAGAATCCTACTTCTGCTGGTCCATGCGATTATTCATACAAAATAGCAGCAACGGATTTAAGCACATGCAATATATTCAAAGTTCAGCCCCGGTGCTTGCGCTCATTAACTATTAGTCATCAGTGGAGGCAGGGTTGTCTTATTCAGGGGATGGAGCAACAAGCCCTTTATATTCGAAAGCTCCGTTTTGGGGAAATTGTTGTCAGCAATTTTACAGAAGAGCAACAGGCCTAACACTTTAGAATGATACAACTTTTCATGAATTGTGCAGTGTGACACCTCCGCTAGAGACAGCTGCACAAACTAGAGCTCAAACTTTGTGAAGCGACAGAGAATAAATGAAATAGACCTGGGCAGTTCTCACTGTTGAAAGACACTCGTCTGATCACGAGATTCCCACGCTAACTGAAAAATCATCTGCTTCCAATTAAACTGTCAGTTACAAGAACCTTGAAAAAAATAATTGCGCCCATAAAGAAAGAGGCTTTACTAACATGAATCCTGCCTCAACAAGCCTTGACATTGGGAACACTAAGACATTGTCTCCCTCGTCTCTACGGTTGCCTAATTTGTGACCAACTCACAAAATTTGCTTTCTTATTAATATCGGGTACTGAAATTCCATATTTTCAGATTTTTTTTTTTTTTGGTCCAAAAGATGACGTAAAATGATTTCCCTGGAAGACTTTAATACCTCTAACCTGTCATGAGGACTCTTGTTTCCTCATGGACCCATTGACTTACATGCAAGTGTTTTGGGGGTGACAATTAAGAGGTTAATTAGAACTTTGACTTGGTAGTGTTGAATGAAATCAAAGAAAGTTATCTTCAAATTCTGCACTTATGTTTTTAAAAATATCCTACTGCATTACTGTTATGGCCTATATGCATTTGATTTAAAAAAAAAGAAAAAAAAAAAAGTTGTCCTCAATATTATTAAAATTGTTTATATGTGACTGCTGACTGCTGCGACAGGCACGTTAGATAATGGGTAGTCGGGTCTTTGACAAATGAAAATCCGTGACAAAAGCAAAGCCTTGCACACGTCCTCATCGATAGAATTTCATGAAGTCATGTACATGAGATTTGTGCTGTTGTCAATGATTGATCAGATAAACCTCTGAGGCTGTGCTTCCTCCACTGCCCTCTTGTGGTACAAAGATCATTTCAGCTTACTACATCCCTAAAGAAGCCTTTCTATGCTGTACACATTTGGTGCCTGCTGCAACCATGTTTTAAATACTGCATTTTAACTTATGTTTATTCATACCCTCAAAGCTTGAATGTGGTATTGCATTGTTAAAGGTAATGTAGACACTTTTAAATAGGGAACTAAGAGAAGTTCTACTCCTTATTTGTGTCCAAAAATAAATGATCAAAAAAAGAAACATTGGTGATATTACAAGTTTGATTCACGTTGTGTTCCTGAAATCGCACAATGACTTCAAAAAGTTCATAATGCAATAAAAAAAAAGGCTGCTTGAGTTAAATACACATTTTTAAAAAAATGATTTATCAGGACCTTGAATTGCTGTTTGAGATTGCATGAGGATGTCCCAAATCCAGGGTGGTGTTAAAATTGAAACAACAGCCAACTTGTTATTAGTGCAAACATGACCTGAATAGCCCAGTGCTCCAGTGTTGAACTCTTTCTTAGAGGTCTTCTGGGCTTTTGTTGTAATTTCAATGAAGAGTTTCCCCCTTACTTACTTCATTGGTAACCAGGAAGTCTTAGTTCCTGTGCACCTTACTAAGAATAGTCTGTCACAAAGTTCACAAAACCCCGACAGCTCATTGCTGAATCAGAAATAAACTGGTCTATAAAATGATGTATCTAGATCTTTGTTGGACAATTTCGCTCATATGGTCTTATCTTACTTTTTTTTTATCAGTCGTATAAAACCTAAAGAAGATCAACTAATTTATTTATTTATTTATTTTTATTTATTTATTTATTTTTTTGCTTCTTCGTATGTTTTCCAGGCCAGTGATTTTTATGTGGTAGTGCTTTTTTTTTCTTTTTTTTTTGGCTTAAGGCAATTAATCACGTTTTATATTTCTTAAATGCCACTCACTAGCTCTCATAGAAACCAAACTCTCCAAAACAAAGCCTGTTCATCCGTAGGTCTTTTACATCATTCCCTCATCAGCAGCTGGAATCATTTGGGAAAGGCCAGAGTTCTGGTTCTGTCTACTCAGCTAAGTCCTCAGCTAAGTGACATAGATTCTCAGCATCTACGTCATTCTCGGTGCTGATTTCGATAAATGACTCAGTTGAGCTCTGCTATTAGAAATTATTCCAAAGTGGTGATTAAAAGGACCAGCTTTGAGGACATGTTTACAGTTGTATCTATTTTGATAGAATAAGTCTGTTACCAACCTTTGTTCTGTGTCTGAAGCATGAGCATGAGTTCTTTTGGGATATCCTGCCAAGCAAAGCTTCCTAGAGTGTTTTGTTTCTCAAGACTTGTTTCCATACTTGTTTCAATACTTACGTCACTTGACATGGATTTGACTCCAGGTTCCACAGCATTCAGCGGCTGGCCTGCTTCACTGCTGCATGTGTGTTTTTAATATTTGTTTGTGTTTCCCCGTGTCATTTTTTAATAATGTCCAAATTCAGGTAGAAAAGCCACGACTCTCCCTGCTTGCCACGCGTCCGACATCTAAACTGTGAAATCTCTTTGTGTGTTCTACTGATTTTTTGTTGTTACTGATAGTAGCTGAAGGGCTGACTTTATCTTCTTGCACATAATGATGTTTTGTAAAGCGCTTTGGCTCACCATTGTGAGGCTGGCTGGGTTTTACCAAAGCGAAGCACTCCATCTAGTGGATAAAGCCGGCAACAACAACAAAAAAAAGAAAAAAAAAACAAAAAACGTAGAAATAAGAGCTTCAAAACTAACGTTATTGTGTTTGCCTACTTTCAGGATATAAATGTGTGCATTCTAGAGAATTACCCTGAGTGCTCCAATCCTCGAGTTTTCTACATCATCCCCTATTTCTGTGGACAACACCCTAAGTGCAGGTAGATTTACAGCTTTGGGAATCTTTCACTTCAATTCGTTCGACATAAATATATTTGACTGCTCACTTTTACTACTCGGATGTCTCACAGAGAGCCTGGGGTGTGGGCTTTGGAGAGGGCCAAGCAGAATGTGTTGGAGAACTACCTCCTTGTGGGCATCTTGGAGGAGCTGGAGGATGTTCTGCTTATGCTGGAGAGACTCTTACCCCATTACTTTTCTGGAGTACTTGACATTTATAAGAGTCCAGGTTGGTGCAAACTGATAAATGTCATGATGTTTGTTATTCTTAAAATAAGACTAGAGGCAAAGTGCAACAAAATTAGGTGTATGGGAAGTGAGTAAAATACATACTGGAGTCATATGTGACTGTTTAGTTTCAGGAAGCTTACCCATGTTTCCTGAGTAGAGGACCTTGGAGGAAAGTGCATATGCTCACGCCATTCTTTCCTAAATGATGTTCACGACAGATATAAAAATATAAAAAATAATAATAATTTCCTGCTGAAAACAATGGACTGTTGAGTCCTGCTTCACTTTACACCAACATCAGCATCCAGGCATGGTAATTTCATTCATTCATCAAAAATCTGATGAAATTAGCCATTTCAGCATCCTTATTAAATAAAAAAAAAAAAAATACAATTGTTTTGCTAATTAAGCTTGATATGTGTAAACAAAAAAAGTTTTAGCAAGTGGTTTATTAAATGAATCAACTGTATTAACTGACTTTTTTTCCCTTTTTTTTTTTTACCCTTTTCCCTATCAAAGAATATCGAAAAATGGGAAACCTGACTGGCACGGTCAGAAAACATACGCCTACTCTGGAGGCCCTGCAGGTGTTGTATCACCGCATGCGCTACGAGTACGAGTTCTACGACTTCATCCGTGATCAGTTTCACCTTATGAAGAAGAAAATTGGCCTGAGATCCACCTCTCGCCCGCCTGTCTACCCGCCTGATTTCTTGCGCGAGCTGGCCCTTCGAACACCTGAACCTTTAGATGAAGATGAGGAGCTAGACTCGGACCTGGAGGATGCCAACAGCTGGCTGGTTCATCCCTGAGGACTGTGTAAACAGTGGATAAAGCCAAACAATAGAGTCGACTAAAACTGGCTAAGGAAAAGCAGGAGGCAGCCAGAGGAATAGTGGCAGCATGTGCCATCTTTTGGATGTTGGCACCTTTACTTTGGAGAGTTCGGTTTTTCCGTCTTCAAGCTCTTATTATGAAAGGCCCAGCACTTTGGACTTAAGCAACTGAAAGAAACAAAAATTATCTATTTAAAAACTGGACAAGGACAGATGGGAATAACTACAGGCTCAAATTATTTCATGATCGGTTTTACTGGAGCTTGTTATGAGGATTTTATGATCTCAAATGCTATAATCTCCAGGAGAGATTAGCGGACAATTTAATGTGTTGGGATATACACTAAATGTTGAAGAGGACTTCAGAGACATTTCCAATCAGACTTTTATTTTATAAAAGTGCTGATTTAATTAAAAAAAATGACTTGGAGGGTGGGGAGGGAGTGCCAAAAGTATTGTATGTATATTAGCTGTCCAGGACTGTTATAAGTGCCAAATCTCATTAGGATTTCCAGTAACTGTGAGACAGGAAGCTTTGGGATCACAGTTGGTAACAGTTGCATTAAGTTAAGTCAGTTGTTATAAGATGTTTATAACATTTTAAGGAATTGTCAAATGTTACAAGGTATGAATGAGGGTTAAACCATACACATCTATTATGAATTCAGAGAATTCCACCTAGATGTACATGAATGACTGAGTTTGACCTCGCCAACAGAGTAATTTAGAGTAGTTTTGTTATTTGGGAAATACAATTCTTTGGCAGTATGTCAGCGGTTTGAGTCGCATGCTAAAAGCATTAGGGAGCCTCATTTGTAATCCAAAGGTGAAAAGAAATCAGAGATAACCAAATAACAGTGTTCTGCTGTGATGCTTTTTTTTAAATCTGTATAAATATCCTGCAGGGTTTTTTTGTGTGTGTGTGTGTGTGAAATAATGCTTTGTGAACATCTGCAGCAAAATGAGGGATTTGATCAAAACTGGATAACATTTTGCCTTTTATTTTGACTCGGTTATGTAGTGGTGAATGATATTTGCTTGCAAGGCATGGAAGTGTTTGTGTGCTCTTTTGTGTTTTAGAGAGTACTGAATTCTTAAAGTGGCGTTCTTTAAAAGATTATAAGCAGTTAATATCTCACCCACAGTAAAAACTCTCTATATATCTTAATTTAGCGTTTTCTGGATTTCCTGTTACTACAGGCAAAGGCTAATGGCTAAGCAGAACTGGTCAGGCACCAAAGGATTTTACGGCAACTGAAATCTCAACTGAATTTTTAGATCACCTGAGAAACCTTCAACTTTCTTTAGGTTTGCTTGGCTTTTGTTATTTACAGAGGAGTCGATTTAATGAAGCTCAGAGATGTTGCATCACCAATAATGTTCCTGTATCAAACAAGTACTTAGATCAGAGATGGTCACATTTCCAGACAACATGCATGAAAGAAAATGTAATGCAAATCAATTAAAATGTCTGATTTGCAAACTTTATTTTTCTATAAGGTTGTGACAGATGTTTCACACAGGTAAATATTATTGGTGCTTCAGCTCTTATACTAACTATTTTGTTTATAGTAAATAAAGACACCCACCAAAGGCTGTTAACTGCTTAGGATCTTTGAAAAGAGCCACATTAAAAAAATAAAAATAAAAAATCTGAACTTGAGTTATCTGTTTAAGTCAGCTCACAGTAACTTTTTTTTATTTTTATTTTTTTTTTATCATTTTGCAATAGCTACTGGTAGAAGTAGTATAAAATCCACATAGCCATAAGCTAACATGTCAACTACAGACTTAACCTACTCCTCATAACTCCCATCACCTGTCCTCTTGGTATTGTTGCATTTATGTTTTAAGTGTTTTATTTCATATCGATTTAATTTATTATTTTGTAATCATTTGCATTCAAGATAAAATTCTCAGGAAGGAAAACAGTGTTTAGTGTGTATCATGTCTCTCAAAGTGATGAGACTGTACATGCCATTTCAATGTGTCTACAGGGGAAAACTGGTTCGTAATAAATTTGTTTCATCATTTAAGGCCTTTGAGATAAATGCCCTTTGAATTTGCAGCTTTTTTTTTTCTGCTAAGGATATATTTTTGCAAACATGATTTTTTTTTGTTGTTGTGGCTATCCTGCTCTGATTGCTCCGCCTTATCTCATTTTATCAAAGCTCTATACAGGTCTCTTTTCCACAAAGAAGGAAGAACTTATACCATAATGCCACTTCCTGTTATTTTCTTTCTTAAAACATCTTTTTTTTTTTCAGTAGACATCCTTTTATACCGATGCTTTAGACTTTATGAAGGGACCTTTTATGACTGTGAGTTTAATGTATAAACAGATAATACTGTTCTATGAGTCAGATCCAGTGTTAAAGAAAAAAAAAGTGTTGAACCTGTAAAATGCTGTGAAGATAAAAAAAAAATATCAGATTTGAGGGAAAGATCCGAAGCTGTTAATGAAAAGGCACACAATTTCTGTCACAGTCTGAATATGGAGTCTGATATAAAAGATTGAAACAGCTTGCTTGATGGGATAGGCCTTAAAGGGGAGAAAGAAAAGTGTTGTCCCAACCCACTGTTCTTCAGTTTATTTAGATCAGGGAATGATGTGTTGCTGTTGAAGATATTTTTTGCCTGTTTCATGTTGTCCGTCAGGTTCTTTTTTGGCGATTTCCTGATTCCACAGAACCGGCAGTAATAAGGAATGCGCGTGGCTAGTGGAATTTAACATTTTCTTGTTTTTATGCTTTTTCCGTTTCCTGTTCCAGTACAGTGTAATTTCTGTATGCTGCGTTAATTTCCATCAGTGGACAGAAGGAGCGGTTAGCATTTAAGCCCCAACTGTAGCAGACGTCTTTAAATTTTTCCATCCACACAAATGTAAGCACTGGTACGGACTTTTCAGGTGATCCATGTGCAGTTTTCCACTCGGAGGCTGAATACAAAGATTTACTTCATGTGAAAGGTGGTGCAGAGAGAGTGACCTTTCCGCTACTGCTGCAGTTGAACTTCGTCTGCTGCAACAAACAGGAGACACAGTAGGTGAGATGATCACAAAAGAGTATAAACTAATTATTTCACCAAATAGCTGTGTCTCTTTACTTCTTTTTTGTTCTAGCAGAAGACATTGAAATAAGCTGTGGATGTGGTATTTACAAAACAGTCTTTATTTAGATTTATTTTTCTCTTCTCGATACCATTGTAAAATATGTTCCCCAAAGCAGAAACATAAATAAAATTGAACAACAAATCGACGACAGGCATGAGGAGGAATATATCCTTGGTGTATTTCTCTTTTACGATAAAAACAATGGCAATGAAGCCATTTGTGATGTTTGTAGATCTGACTTCTGAGCACCAATGCTTCAATTTCATAATTTACCTCCCTAATGCTCTGTACGGCTATAGGAAGCCATACATCACCTCAACACGGCAGTTTGTTCCTGGATTTGGTCCAAACATCTGGAGATTATATCCTGGCTCCTGAACACAGTAATGACGTGCATATCCTTGAGTATGTCAGGCATACAGATTGCAAACAGAAATACCAGCATGAGAAAAACTGAACCAAAGTTCTCAACAACAGATTAAACTAGAAAACATACCCACATGTACAACTCGTAAACCTGTCGGAGGGATCAAGGCCAAGGAAGTAATGAGTCAAACTGATGTTAAACTGTAATACTTTTAAATTGTTCACAGTAGTCTGAATGCCCTGAGATTAATTAGTTAAAAAAAAGGCACTTTTCCTATTATGATACATTCCACAGTGCAAACAGGCTAAACTATATCTCAAATAACTTACTTGTACAGCAATTAGTCCATTTTGTTTTAACTTAAATAATTACAATAAATGTAATTCTGCAGGCATCTCTATCCGTCCAACCATTGTAGTCTTTAAAAATCAGCGTCAAGTACAAAAATAATACTAAAATTGTTCTGACCCTTTAAGTATTATTCGTTTTCCTGTGGTCTCAGAATATGTACTTAAAATTCACACATCCACACTGTTTCATTGATCAAACATTGACCCAGTATTTAAGCAGAAGACGTTGAGTTGTAAAGTCCTCAGGGCCCCATTTTGTACTGAATTGTTGGTCAAACAAAAATGTCCACAAAAAAACAAACCTTAGCTACAATGATTTGATGAAAGCTTTTTTTTTTTTTTTTCCACCAGTACAGTAAACCAGTGACGGCTTGTTTGTCTCTCATTCTTCAGTTCTTTTCCTCCTGTGGCCTGGTTTCCCAGCAGCGTGAAATCTCAGGCCTTAGCTTCATGTTGGTTTAGCTCCATCCCATCCCCGGCATCTTTGTTGCCAGGGCTTGAATTCTTCTTTCTGGGGTTGCTTCCAAGAGATTCAGCCTCTTCCAAAGTGGTGGGGAGAGGTTCGCCCAAGGTTTCGGGTAAGAGCAAAGTAAGCACTCCAATTGCGAATGCCAGGATTCCTACAATGAGCTGAAAAAAAGATGGTAAAAGTATATCTTTTGTTGAAAAAGCATATAAAATGAGATTATTGTGACAAGAGGGACACAGACTATGATGCATTTAAATTACACTTCAACAACACCTGCTAACAAATTTCCTTAACAGGATGCTGAGCTCTGTGAAAGCAACATTTGGTTTTATTAACAGATAAAGGCAAACAGGTTTTTAAAAACGGTTCTGCCTTCCTGATGTTTCCTAATTATGTTAATGGAGTTAATTAAAGACATATGCATCCTTGTGGAATCTGTAATAGTCACTTGGATTTGGTGCAAAAAGATGTAAATGAAAAAGGAAACAGAACTCTTTTGCTAGAATGTTAAGCATTCTGACTTGTCTGAAGTGCTTGCAAAAAAAAAGAAAAAGAAAAAAGAAAAGGTCATACCTGAGGTAGATAGACCCAGACTTCAACCAGGTAAACACAAAAAGGAGCCACAATACTGCCAACACGACACATCATGCTGCCGCTACCTACTGCCAGGGTCCTGCAGAGGGAGCATCCACGCACAATGGATTAAAATATTTAACTCATTCCAGAAGGACCAAATCAAGACAACAGCATTGCCATTGGTGCCATCCTTATTGACCGCCAGCAAAAATGTATGAGCATCATTGATTGCAGCAATTTTCGTAGAGTTATGGAACCTGAATAAGAGATCTTTCCTAAATTTGCAAGGTGTTTCTATGAGGAAATAGCTGTAAAAGGAAGCCATATATTGTCATATGTTTTGTGTATGTTAGAATTTTTTTGTTTTGGGTTTTTTTTCCCTCACCTGATGACAGTAGGGTAAAGCTCGCAGGTGTACAGGTAGATGAGGCCAAAGGCAATCGCCACAGCAAACTTTCCAATCATACTAAGAGCAATGGCCAGAGAATCTATTTCCTAAAGGTCAGGTTAGGTAAAGTTTGTTGATAGGAGACAAAAAAAAAAATGGAAAAAGACTGTAAGAAACAAGTGACATATTCATAATCTCACATTATAAACAAAGACTTTAGCTTGCTATATTACATGCAACTTTTTTTATTTCTTAGAATAAAGCTAGACTTTTGAACTTACAGACTCACTGATTGACCAACATAATTCATCTCAACATGCAAGAGGGGTTTGAAAATCACTTATTATGTGATCTATGGCAACATGAGTTTCTATTTGTAGGCTCTCGCATTACAAATAGGTGAAGGTTCAGACTACAAGTGATTTATTTGCAATGAAAGCTGACCACAATATTGAGCAATGCTGACCAAAGTTTTCCTGCTCTGCTTTTTAGAAGTGATTAAAGCATCAATGTAGACTATTGATATCTCTAATTTACACAATAATGCTGTTTTGCTTGGCATAAATAAATCAACATTTATTCTTTTTACTTTTTTGTAAAGATTGTTTATTCATCTGGATACTTATTAGGCATAGAAATCAAAATGTAATTTCACTTACTTTAAAGAACTTTTTTTTTTCTAATCTGTTTTTAACCAGGTATTTGCTTAGAAAATGTACTAAGCAAACTAGCAATATAATAGTGTTCTGGATCATGATATTAATTTCTCCACTCTATTTGGAAGAATCTAAAATGAGGTGCTGTTTAAAAAAAAAAACTGAATTGTTTTATGCATACATCCTGAATGCACATGGGTGTTTAAAGTGTAAACACTAATTAGCCAATGATGTTTTGAGAAACATCTTACTATTGAGTTCAGGCTTTTTGCAGAAAGAAATGAAGCTATGTAACTGGCTTTAGCTGTCTGTAGGCATAAAACAAAAAACTACAGACTAAAAGCAAAAATAAATTGCACTGCATTGGCCTCATTGCACCAATGTGTGCTGCTGTGCAAAAATATGTTTTTGGGAACTGAGCTGAGTAATTGTATCTCCTTTAGTCTGATGCAACATGCAGACACAATTGAAAACGCTGGCAGAGGATTGTATGATTTAATGCTGCCAAATGTTTTTTTTTTTTTTTTTTTTTTTTTCTGTCCGCCCTGAATTCAGTAAAGCTAAATTTGGGTTGTATTGATGTGGTGAACAAACAGTCACTTTATCTAGCATATGTGGTGTTGGTGCTGTAACATGCTACACACTGAGCTGTTTACAGTAAAGCAGTCTTCTCCAGTAATCTTATTTCTGTCAAAGAGGTCACTTGTGAAAGGTGGGAGTGTTTCTCCAAATTTCCCCTAAAAGTCTAAACATAGTGCTAACTATGTCGCAAAAGCCATTGGTTGAAATTTTCAGTTTAAAAACATACAAGTGGTTTTTGTGAAACCACTTAGAACAGATCATATGTTAGACTTTACACCTCTCTGCTGTGTCTGCACTGTCAGTAAAAGCACACATAGTAGCCAAGGTAATGCAGCTCTTCTTTTTGTATAGTTTTCACAGTTGTGTTGTCTAACCTTAGCGGTTTAGCTCATTAATTGGCGTTTTTGCAGCCTTTAATTTTTTCTCCTTAATACATCAGACAAAATGTGGAAAAAGTGGCATAGATCTGCCTGATTTCCAGCTTGATCAACCTGACAAATGTCTGTCATTGGAAACTCCAAAGAGAGACAGAGTAGGATT